AGCCATAGTGAGAGTTTTAGGCCAACGTTGGCTTGTATATGTTTGTTGCAGCATGTGCGTTACCGATCGCACAGGCCCCTTGCGAAATCTATGCTAGCCAGCGTGGGCCCCAAACGATATGCCCTTGCCCTTGCAGTCTATGCGGTGTCATCGGTGTGGTGCAATGTATGCGATGCAACCTATGCAATGCAGCGTGCGCGGTTCAACCTTTGCAGCGCAATCTATGCGGTGCAATATGGGCGGTGCAACCTGTAATATGCAGTGCATGCGGTCCAATATATATGTGCTGCCACTCTCGCGCGGCAATCTATGTCGTGCAATATGTGTGCGGTCCAATATTTGTGGTGTAATCTATGTGGTACAGACAATGCGGTGCAATTTGTGCGCGGCAGCCTGTGTCATGCAATGCCTGCTGCGCAATGTGCGCGGCGCGATCTACGTGGCGCTGCGCGCGCGACAACGACGGCGGCGGCGGACGGCGCCGCCCGCAGAACGCCACTCGCCCCGAACGGCGGCGGCGGCGACGGCGGCGACGGGCGGCGCCGCCCGCGAGAGCCGCCAGTCGCCCCGAGCGGCTGAGACGGCGACGGCGACGGCTTCGGCGGCGACGGGCGGCACCGCCCACAGAAAGCAGCCAGTCACCCCTAGATGGTTCTGGCAAGTATGACCCTGGGTGCAAGCACTGTTTCGGGAATAGTGGCAATGCGACGTGGCATGCGAGGATATTCCTTGAAATGTTGCGCAGTGCAATCGCGCGCAACCCTGGTGTGCCAGGCTGTGCTTTACATGGCTATGCGATGCGGGTATGCTGCGCTATGCCGCAGTGCACTACGCGGCGCTGTTTTTTTGGGGGATCGGCATGGCCGTCTGATGTTTGTGTCGACGTACTGCAACGCATGTGTTCATATTGCCATTGATATTGCTATGCTAAGTTTTGCGATGCTATGCCCTGGGGCGCCGTTTCACAGCGCAACACAGCATTGCGCATCTCACCATGACATTGCATCGCATAGCACAGTGCATCATCCAGCGTGCACCTCGGAGTTCGCTGCCCTGAACGCCCAGGTGAAGGCGCACGGCGTTCCGGGGGTGTCCCGGTCACAGGAGGAGGCCGGCGCCATCGAGACGGCGAAGGTCATGCGCGCGAGCTGGATGATCATGATCACCTACAAGAAGGTCAACAACCCTTCGGCGGTGGCCGTCGCAGTGGCGAATGTGCACATGGAGTTCACCTCCAACCTCGGCGGGGGGATGAGTCAGCTCCACGAAGGTATCCAGAAGAAGATAGGCCCGCTGGTCTCAGCGTCTTAAGCTGCCCCCTTGTGCGCCGCCACGCCTCTCGAGCTCGTTGTTTTGTTTCCCGGCTGGCATCGGCGCCCCGGGTTCGCTGGCGTCGGCACCTCCGGGCCGTCTGCTCGCCAATGCCCCGCTGCCTCGCTCTCCCAGGGGGGCCGCTAGGACAGAGAGAAGCCCCGAAGCAAACGCGCCCCCAGGAGCCCCGCAGGCAATTGCGTCGTTGCCCTGTCACGATTGCGCGGTTTCGAGCGCATTGAGAGTCAATCGGGCGACGGAGGTGACTTCGCACACAGGGCGCGCAGGCGCCGAACCGACGTGGTCTGCGTGGTCGCAGAATATTGAGTGTTGAACGTGCGAATGCCCCCCCCTGCCCGCTCTTCTGTTCGCGCCCTTCCTGGGGACCGCCAGAGGGCGCGATTTCGTTTACGTAGCTGCCGTCGGATTGGGAACTGGAAGCGGAGGAGGCGGAGTATGAGGAATAAAGGAAACCAGGCGAGGAAGAAACACACAGACACAATTAATCGACGATTTCCTGGAAAATACAAGAAGATATGGGCAGATGGGAGGGGAACGAAAACCCAGAAAATATACGAACATATTGGGTATCCTTTTTGATTTGTGTGTATTTATGTGTGTGCCCCAGGGCCCGCTCAGAGAAGGAGCGACGGTGATGATTGCAAGTGATGAGTGTGGCTGCGGTGGGAGGGTGCGGCGGATAAAGGGATGGGGATACCAATGAGGATGCGGAGGAGTAAGAATAATGATGGCAACGTGATGGTGGGAGGAGGGGTGAGAGGATAGCGAGGGGCGAAGAATGAGAGCAGCGCGCGGGAACGACAGGGGGATGCCTCTGGACATGGGGAGGGCGATCAGTAGACAAATTATGGTAAAGGGGGGTGGTACGAGAGGAAGATCCTTCATTCGAAACAATTGCCGGCTCGAGCGGTTCCCCCATGCCCCATGTCTTGTTTACATCATTCTCGGATTTCCTGTCTGGGCTCCTGGGCCACTTTCTGCCGCGACCTCCGTTTCACCAATACCCCCCCCCCCTTACCCCACTCCCAATCTGAGCCGGCAATAAGTTCGACATGCAATCTCCGCCTCTCATTTCCCCCTCAATTCTTCGCTGTGGTCTAGCTGGTGCGAGGGCCGCCCAGCTAACCCACCGCGCGTTTTGATGTCCGTTGTGTTTTTGTATCGTTTTTTTTCGCTGCTTGCCCAAACCCCTCTCGCCTCTCATGTCCTCTTCTTCCTTGGGCTTCCCCTCTTTTCTTCATACGCCAATCTGCGGGGATGTTGTATGTATTGTCCGTCACTCCTTGGCCCTGCCCTCTTTTATGTCTGCATTTTGTTTCTTCATATTAACATTCTTGTTTTCTCCTCCAGCCACCTCCCCCTCCGTCCCTTATCACATACATGCACGGTGCCGCGGCTGGGTCTCACTCTGCAGCGCCATCCGCGTGACGGGTGCCGCGTTGTCGCTCGGACATCCCAGGTGTGCATCAGAGTGGTTGCAGTCGACGCTTTCGTGTGCTAGATCTGCGTGCGGGGCGTGGCGATTAGAGTCGATGCGGAATCCAAACATGATTATTTAATCGCTTCGCTCACTCCGCCGGCCCATAATGTCGCACCGTGGTCGCCTGTCCGAGTGGTCGTTTGCAGTGTGGAGCTGCGGCGTCGGGAGCTGTGTAGTGTTGGGGGCGTTTTTGGGGCCCTCTTGGGCCGTCCTGGAGGCCTCTGGGGCCGTCTTGGGACCGTTTTGGGCAGTCTTGGGGCCCTCTTGGGGGCCTCTTGGGCCCTCGGGGGGCAATCTTGGAGGCCTCTTGAGCCGTTTAGGGGCGTCGGGGAACCGAAAAGGTTGAAACGCCCAAATCTGTCCAACACCAAAGGAAAAGCACAGGTTTTTGCCTCTTGGGGCCCTCTTGAGAGTTCTTTTGGAGGCCTCTTGGGGCATCTTGGAGGCTTCTTGGGCCATCTTGGAGACGTCTTGGGCCGTCCAGAGGCCATCTTGGGCGTCGTGGAACGATCTTCGGGCGTTTCGGACCTCTCTTGGACCGTGTTGGGGGCGTTCTTGGGGCCCTCTTGGGCCGTCTTGGAGGCCTCTGGGGCCGTCTTGGAACCGTTTTGGGCAGTCTTGGGGCCCTCTTGGGGGCCTCTTGGGCCCTCTTGGGGCGATCGTGGAGGCCTCTTGAGCCGTTTAGGGGCGTCGGGGAACCGAAAAGGTTGAAACGCCCAAATCTGTCCAAAACCTAAAAAAACGAGCATAGATGTTTGCCTCTTGGGGCTCCTTGGGAGTGCTCCTGGAGGTCTCTTGGGGCATCTTGGAGGCTTGCTGGGTCATACTGGAGACGTCTTGGGCCGTCTGGAGGCCATCTTGGGCGTCGTGGAGCGATCTTCGGGCGTCTCGGACCTCTCTTGGATTGTGTTGGGGGCCTCTTGGGGCCCTTTTGGGGCGATCCTGGAGGATCTGGGGGAGTGTCCCGGGCTTCGCCCGGGCGATGCGGAATCCAAGCATGATTATTGTGGCTCTTGCTGGATCGTTCTTTTTGGCGCGATCCGCGCGCGGGGCGTTCGACCGACCTGTCGTCTTCCTTGCTTTTCCGATCGTGGATTGGTTCGCGTTCCAGTGGAGTGCCAGGGTTTCAAGAGAGCCGCTGCAACGACGGCCGAACCTTCAAACGCCAGAGCGCGAGCGGACGCTACGGCTACTGATGCTCCGCGTGGCATGAACAAGAACATGTTTTTTGTTGTTGTTGATGTTGTTGTTGTTGTTGTTGTTGGTTCGTGTTTGTTTTTCGCGATTGGCCGTTGCATCGGCCCTTGATTGTTTTGCTTTTTCCACTAGATTGTTTTTTGTCGTTGTCCACCGTGTGCTCGGGGCGACGCGGGGGTTTGTTCAGTCAGATTGTTCGGCCGTGTGGCCCTCGGGTTCACATCGACATCACGGTGCTAGCCACCGTGGACCCCAACGAATAAATTATAGCACTGTGGATGCCTAGCCTAAGCGGTGCAAACTATGTAATGCAAGCTGTGTGGTGCAGAATATGTGGTGCAAGCTAGATACCGCAAAGAGGCGGCAGCGGGTGGCAACGCGGCGAAGCTTCACTGGACCCATCCAGCGCGCGATGCGGCCACGAGGCGGCTTCGGGCGCCAACGTCGAAACTTCCCGCCCAACCCACCCAGTCCCCTAGTGAGAAACGGGAACACCTAAGCGCAAGTGCTGTTTGGAAAGACAGGCTGCAGGTCTGGCCTCTGCGCCACCCGGACATACTCATACCATCCATGCGTCGGCCACGCAAGGACGACGCGCACGCTCGGAAGTCTTATGGTATGAGCGTCGTATCGGGCGCCATCTGGCCATGCCGCTCGAGAAACGGTGTGTTTCAAGATTTTGTGATGCATGTGCCGGTCGGACGTGCGTCTCCAATCGACGCACGTCGTACTGCAGTCAACCCGTACAGCCAGGATGCGCGACAAGTGTGCAAGGGCCTGGGATGCCCGCTTCGAAGCTCTTCGGGCGGGGCGCGGCCGACGAAAGTGGCGCAGGATGGACCGAGGAGGCCAGGATGCCAGGGTACCCTTGGGAAGGTTGCCCCTCCTTTCTGGGCGGGTTGACCGCAGTGGAGCCTTATGCGCCCCGAGGGTCATGCCACCCTGCTCGCCTCCTCCCTGGGAGCTCCGGGGCGCGCGGGGGCCCTGCCAGGACGCGGGCGCGGCCTGGGCTGCGCCGACTGGGCGAGGCCGCCTCGCCGCCCCCCGGGCGCTCCCCTCGCCGACGCCGTCGGCCTGTGCTGTCCTCGGGGGGACCCGGTGCGGTCGAAGCCGCAGCGTGTCAGTCAATTCGCTTTGAAGGAAGCGGGTCCTGAGGGCAACGAGTCCCGAGGTTTCTTGCTGCTCTTCGCTCCCCAGGGCCCTCCACGGGCCCCGGGGCTGAGAAGACGCCTGAGGGTGGAGAACCGGTCCCTGAGGAAGGCCCAGGGGTCCAGCACCTGTTATTGGAGAAACCGAAAGGTACCGATACCGCTACTCCCCAGCCCTCTCCCCGGGTGCGTCCTGACCAGGATTTCGAGGCGAATCCGGCGATGGCGACGAAGGCCTCCCAGGAGGCCTAGACAGGGAAAAACGAGAGGAAGGTAGCGGTATGGGTGCCTGTTCCTCCGAGTTTCCGTCAGGACCCGCTTCCTTCGTGCTCCTTTGTGCCAGCGACACGGCGGTTGGCCGGTTATACAGGCGGTCCACGCAGGACCCCCGTCCTGCTAATCACCACGTGGGACTACGAAAAGGTGGTTGTGGGCCTGAGTTTTTTATTTTGATGATTCGGACGGTCCTTGCACACTGGCTGAACCACCGGCGCCCCAGCCACCATGTCGGGAGTTCGAATCGTGGCTCGTTGGGGGCTCTCTTGGGACGATCCCGGAGACGACCGAGCAAAGAGGGGGGTGCGTTGATCGCAGGTAGGGCGTCTGGCCCTTCTTTGGTTTCTCTTGGGCGCTTTGGGTCATCACGGGGCTTCAGGAGCCCCTCGGAAGCGAAACGGCCATCTGATTGTTTTACAAGAGGGCACCCGTTTTGAGACGATTTTGGCGTCTCCGGGCATCCCTGGGAGTCTCCACAGTTACGTCGAGCTGTTTTGTTGCCAGATTGGGGCATGTTGGAAATGTTGGATGTCCTCTTGGGCCCACTTGGGGCATCTTTCCCGATCTCGGAGGACGCCTTGAGCTATCTTGTCAGACCTCTCCTGGGGTCCATGCTGGAAAGATTTTTTCGAACCGCGTCCAGCCGTGACGACGACGACGGCGACCTCCAGAGACGCCGAAGAATCCGAAGCGACGACGTTGCCACCGTCGCCGTCGCCGTCGTCTCTGCCGTCGTCGTCGTCGCCGCCGTCGCCGTCGCCGTCGTCCTCAGATCTCCGACGTCGCGATTTTGTCATAACGTGGATCCCCCGAGGTCTGGACCCCTTCCCTGGCACAGTTGTTTCATTCCGCCGCTACTGTTTTATCAGTTCCGGGGCCGTTCACCTCGAGGCATACAATTTTCTAAGGACCTTTTGGCAAGTCCAACACCTCCAGGAGGTGTCCCGTGACAGACGCATCCTGCCTTCGCAGAGCTGTCGTCGCACAGAGGGCCATTAGTTATTTTTTAGAATGGAAAAGTTAGCTCTGGGGGCTGGTGAGGGCCCCTGGATCGCCGAGCGCGTTCCACTACTCGCAAAGTGCCTGCTCGGAAGCGTCCGAACACAATGTCTTCCTGTATGTACTGGAGCGTAGATCCCCCGCGGCGGAGTCAGGCCGTTTGCGAGCAGCTACTTTTGGCGAGCCGCGGAACGCGCTCGTCGACCAGAGGCCGAGACCAGAAACAGGACCGTGCGTCGCGCTCTTTTTTCCTTGCTCGGCGAGCGTGGAGGTGGGGGGGGGGGGGGGCGAGGGCCCCCGGAGGCCGAGACCAGAACAGGACCGCGCGCCGCGTCTTTTTTTTTTTGCTCTCGGCGAAGGGGGGGGGGAGCGTCCTGGAGCCTGGGACCCCGGGGAGGGCGTCGGCTCGACCGTCCGCAGGCCGCCAGGCCGCCGCCGCCTCCGTCCCCCCCCGTGTCGCGGCCGCTGCCCTGGAGTCCCGAATCGACCCCTGGAGGGTCGAAGGACGAGGAGGAGGACGAGGAGGGGGGCAGAAGCAAGCAGTGGCATACAGATTTCCCTTCCGGCGCTCCGCGCGGAGCGCCAGCAGCTTCTGCTCATGCCGTTTTTCTTTCCTCCTCCCAGAGTTCCGAGGGTGCGCTCCTCTCAGAGTTCCCCCGGGGGTGCGCTCCTCCCAGAGTTCCGAGGCGGGTGCAGCCGCAGCCGCGAGGGCGCCCACAGGCCGGGCAGCGGGTGCTCCCGAGGCGAGCCTCGGGCCTCGGCTCTGCGGCTCCCCCTCTGGCGGGCTGCCCGGCCCCCCTCCCGCCCCCGTGCGGCCACGAGGGCGCCCCAGGAGACGGCGGGCCGACGCTCCCGAGGCGAGCCTCGAGCCTCGCGCCCGTGGTCCCCCCCCTCGGGCTGTCCGGCCCCCCTCCCGCCCCCGTGCCGGGGCCCTCTCCTGGGCACCAGGGGCTGTGGCGTGCAGGCCATCGGGGCTCCCCTCGGCGGGAGGAGGCTCGCTGCGCACCGCCCCCCCGGTCGGCGGCGAGCCCCGGGGGGGAAGTTCGGAGGGGCGGTGGGGCGTCTCGTAATCTCAAGTAGGGGAGGGGGTCGACTACAGACTTTCAGAGCCCCGAATCATCAGGGGTAACTCGGGTCAGGGCTAACTCGGGTTCCTTTTCGGGAATCCAAACCCGAGTTACCCCGGACCCGAGTTACCCCGGATAACTCGGGCGCCTAAGACTTGACTTACCCCAGACTTGATTTCCCCGCTGAGTCTTCGGAAAGCTCGCGGAGTGCCCCGTAGATCTACGGAGCAGTGCAGGCATTTTTCTGGGCAGATCAAACGGGAATTCCGGGGTGATCAATGCTGTAGGCGATCTCGTACTCGAGGAATGGGGGGGCGATACTTGGGGGGGGGGCAGCGAGGGCTGCAGGAAGGGGGCCCTGTGTGGCCCCTGCAGGGCCCTTTCGGGCCTGAGAGGGGGCCTGTGAGGCCCGAGAAGTGCACCTTTCTCCCCCCCCCTCTTTACCGCCCCCCGATGAATCTGGACGCCCGAAATGGGTACGGAAAGAATGGGTACAATGCCCAACAGCAGTTCCAGTTCATTTTGAACAGGACTCGCTGTCCGCGCCGCCGCGGCCTGTGTCCATCTGAGACAGAAGGCCGCCTGCCCAACAGCGGCCGCTGTTGGTTTGGGACAACATTTGCTGTTGGGCATTGTACCCATTGTTTTCGTACCCATTTCGGGCGTCCAAAATGAAGTGACGCCCAAGGCGGGCCTTGGGCCTTCCCAGAAGGCTCGGAAGTCCCCTTGCCTTTGAGAAGGTTCTCAAGCCTTCCCCGAAGACGCAGAGGCATCTCGTCAGAAGGCCGGAGGGCTTCTGAGGAGTTCCGCCGCCTTCTGAGAAGACCTTCTCCTCACTCGCTCGCCGCCGAATTTGTTTTTCGGGGTCATAACTCGAGTCTCCGGCGGCCGTTCGGGACGATCCGGGCAACCCCGGAACGCCCTCGGCGAGGCGCAGCTGCTCGCAAGCACCCCGAGGTTGGAAAACCGTCGAAAAACACAGATGGCTCCAGCCAGGCAGCGTGGCGGTGCTCTGCGGTAGGTTTGCGTCGCATCGACGCGGCGTCGTGAAAAGAGATCCGTTGCACCAAGGGCATTGTCCCTACTGGGCAGAAGGGAGGCCCTGGCAGAGATGAAGTGAAGGAGAATTGTCAGCTTTACCAGCACTGATAGTGTTCCTTTTCTTCCCCCTCCCCCTTCTTCTTCTTCTTCCTCGCCTCCCCTCCCTCCTCCCCCCTCGACCGCAAGACGAAATATTGTGAGCTCGCTGACACTCGCGTGATGTAGGAGTGACAACGGAACTGTCTCTTTTCCAGGCGCAGTCGAAGGATTGAGGGCCTGCCACTGTCACTCTAGTGCGAGTTGTCTTTCATGTCTTCCTTGCCCCGTTGCCTGCAGCAGGACGCGGCCTCTGCTCCGATCGGGAATTGCGTTGACCTGGTGGTCGCGCCACGAAAATCACATGACGTCGGGAGTCTGGGTTCACAGCGCCGCCAGTGGCACAGCATCGGCCGATGCGCAGCGAGCTGCCTGCCAGCCCTTCAGGGTTGAAGCATCCACGCAGTCTCAGGAACGACCGCCGGGATCGGCACGACGCGCCCCTGCCGTAATTATGCGGCCAGCCAGGGTGCGCGACGCGGCCTTGGACGGCCCTGGTTGGCGCGGCGTGTCCTCGAAGGCGTGGGCAGGCTGTTCGTGGCGGGCGGCGGGGGAAAGCTGGAGGGGCAGAGATCCAGTTTCAGAGGCGCCCGTGCGGCTGCTCGATCGGAAACTGGAGCACATGCACTGCCAGTGGCGGGCGACTTGTCAATCCCAGAAATTGCTGCGGGCCGGGGACGACGTCGGGGTGGCGTTGTGTATACTTTTTGTCCCTGTGCTTTGCCCGGGGGAACAGCGAAGCATGTATACGCCAGGATCCAGTGCATACCAGGATCCGCTCTCCTGTGCGAGTTTCAGTGCGGGGCCGGAAAAATCACCGCCCACCAAACCACCCCAACCTAACCTGAAGGCCCCGATTTGCGTTCCATTTCCTTGGGGGGGGGGGTCGGGGAACATGTACCCCCCCTCCGAAATTGGGGTCTTCGGCTTCGGGTTGTGTCGAGGTGGTCTGGTAGGTAGTCAACAAAAAGCACCGGTGTATGGAGCTCGGCTCCTTAGCTCGAGGCGCGCGACCCCGACGGGCCCCAGCGGCTCGTGACGTCACAAACGTCATGTTGGGCGTGCCCCTCCACAGGAGGAGCATCCCCAAAATAGTCAGAAACAATCGTGTGGGGACGAGTTTGTCTTCTACTTTTTGCTGTCATTCTCAATTTTCCCTCCAAACACCTTTAAGATTTTCGTCCAAGATCCACCTGCAGGAGGGCCTGCCCTAGCTGACGCCAGCGCGAGAGCCCCTCCCCGGCCTCCCGCGGAGAGGCGCGCCTCCCCGCCGCCCCGCGCGCGCGGACGTCCCCCCTCCCGCGAGAGGCGAGGCCGCGCCGGCGGGCCGGCGCGGGCCGCACCGCCACGGCAGCGGAACGGGCGCGCAGAAGATCCGGGACCGCGCCCAACCCTGGGGGGAGGAGGGGGAGGAGGAGGAGGGGGAGGAGGAGGAGGAGGAGGAGGAGGAGGAAGGAGAGGAGGAGGAGGAGGAGAGGAGGAGGAGGAAGAGGAGAGGGAGGGAGGAGAGGAACGAGAGGAGAAGGAGGAAGGAAGAGGTGGAGGAGGAGGAGGAGGAGTTTTTTTACAACCACGCGTGCTCTGGCATGCACGTGGGGGCCACTGGTCTCGGCACCCGTGCCGAGCGCGCAGCGGCACGCTAGGAGGAGGAGGAAGAGGAGGAGGAGGAGGAGGAGCAGGAGGAGGAGGAGGAGGAGAGGAGGAGGAGGAGGAGGAGGAGGAGGAGGAGGAGGAGGAGGAGGACCACTGTAAACCCAAGAAGCGTCAACGATGTTTGAATTCACCCTCCCTCCAAGCTCCCTCTGATTAGGCCCCCAGAGCGGTTCAGTTTTTTACTGAGGGAACTGCCTCGTTGGAAGACAACTGGCTGAAGACCCTGAAGCATGCCAAAACATTGTTCTCGGGATTCCAACTCCGCTGGTCAACCTGACTGTTGCGTCTCACCGCGAATCAACACAACTTGTGCACCCCAGAAAGCTTGAACCCTTCGAACACATCATTTCTGGTACTTCGATCATGGGAACCCGTGAAGCTCTTGCAATCTTTTTAAGACGAATGTGCGTGGCGCTAAGGCGAGAGCCACATTTTGTGAAAAGGAACC